TATATATAGATATGCCCAGGCGGATCTTTCATAAGATGAGAGGATCTCGTCCTTTATGTGTACATTCTTTATTTCAATATGAATTTAGTATTGTTTCTGCCAGTTAAGCCTCATTACAGTGCTTCAAATACGCATCGAACTTTTTAGGAAAGTGTGGCGAAACTGGCTGGGCTTATTAATTTTGTTTGGAACTATTAATATAGTAATTCATTTAATTAATATTCAGATGACCAGCAGACTCCTAAAAATGCACCTATACCAAACGAACCTGTAGCACAGGCCGAGCTTTGAATTTTCTCAAGATAAACACCACAGTGGAAAGAACTATCGAATATATTGAGTGCACATACCCAACTGGGTCACATAAAATTGGGTTTTTTTTCAAGCCGACGATGTGAGCGCCTCTGATATGAGGAACGCTTAGGTTGTATATACATATATCTATACAATATTAAGCATGAGCATCCGTCTTAGCCCGGTTACAAGGTGCATGGTATAGAAGTGTATATGTCCATCTATATATATATATGTAATATGGTGACCATCTAGAAAATCCCCGTAGTTTCGCTTAGTAGAATAAAAACTGTCGAGAAAAAAAGTCATTTGCTCTGTTTTTCAACCTGTGGCAAATCTAAGGATAGATGTATATAGGACGAAGCTCGCATTTGACTGGGGGCAAAGACGATAGATATTCCGAATTGAATCACTAAGTAAATAATACCACCCTACTACGTCACGTAAATCAAATCCTGTCTATGGTCTTCCGGTTAAGAAACTCAGATCTTACTAAGAGCAAAAGTTACAGTGAAAAAAGCGACAGATATACACACGAACTTTCTTTGTGGGTCACATTAACTTCATGTACTTTCCAATGATCGCGCAATTGATCCCCAACGACTTCTAGAGTATAGCATCTTGTCCAATAAGCCAAACATCTTACTACGCTATCTAAGTAAACGTCGAACAATTACGTTCATCTGTGTTGTTTGCTCAGTGAACAAAAATCCACCTTATACTCGACTAAACAATGATACTCACCTCCTTCCTTTCACCTATTTTCAGTCCGCTAATAAAGCTATTATAAATTATACTATTACATTAATTATACTACATTATAAATTGAACTATTCAATAAAATTGATACAGGCACAGCCATGTTTATTCAACTTCTCGTCCGAATTGTTCTTCCGATAATCCGCTTAACATTCGTTCACCTTCTAGCCAACTTCTCGAGGAGCAATGTCTTCACACAATCAACTGATAAAATCAAAAAAGACAAACCCTTTCCTGTCGTATTACTGCTTTCGTCGATGTTACTGTCACCGACCGCGTTGGTTCGTACTGACATCTTGTTGTCGCTGTTCGTTCGTGATTTTTTCAGCATTCGCCGAGCCCATCGCCCGTCGACAAAGCGCTGCCGTCGCTAGCGCTAGGAAGCGGAGGCGTCGCCCTGGGCGGAGTGGTCGGCAGCTTGAAAGGAGCCGGAGGTGGAACAGGACCCGGGAGTCCCTTTCTCTATAACTCACCGCATATGGCGCCACCTTCGCCTTCGCCGAGTCACACGCCCACCGATGGTCTGCTCCAGCAGAGCTCCGGACAACCGCACTCGCCTTACAAAACGAGTGGCGCCACTGGTGAGTAACACTAGTAACACGAGCGCTAAGACCGGCGTTACCGTCGCAATAGCGGCCGAACCTGTTTGAATGAATGGCAAAGCACGCTGGCGCGCGGAGACAGAGCTTCGGATATTGCCGTGCCATAATATTATACTGCAGGTATCTGTATGTAGGCTATTACAGGGAACATATGCATGAGATGATGGGATAATACAAGCACTTAATGCTGGTGTACGCAGGAAATTGAAAAGGTATCCAGGAAGACGGGACAAGGACAAAGATGGCGACTTTTTCAAATGCAGTCGAGCACTGATACATTTTGGAGGCCAGACTTTATTGCTAAGGGAATCGTCTGGCGCAGTGAGGCTTCGACTCAGTAGACTCTGGACCTCGTACATTCAGCTTCTGCTTTGGAACTGATGCTCTGCTGTTCCTTGCTCCAGTGATCACTGACGAGATTTACAAATCAGGCCGAATGCCTCAAACGACAAATACGAACATGCCGAAGCAATGTTTGCATACTATGGTGGATTTGTTTAATAAAAACTAAACCCTATATAGAAACGCCGATTAATATGTGAGGGTGTGGGTAGTGATGATCTTCACAGAGGCATTGTTACTTTTAAGTTCTAGTTTGGACTTGAGTAATTGCTGTTGTTGACTAGCATTCCCATCCTATCCCATTTTTTGTTTGCTGGTAGCCAAGTGTAATGTAGGATTGGCAAATTTCCTCTTTGTTCTTTAAACCATTCATACATTAGAACGTGTTAGATTGAGTACGAGCTTTGAAATGAATGTATTATTTTTTTCATATTTGGCAATTTCAATAGTTCATCGAATACACACTACATTTAAAATAAAAACGTGACAGAACGAGGTAGCAAACCGTAACCGATTTGAGAGGTAAGAAAAAGATTAGACTTAAAAACACTAGCTTTAAAATTATTCTAAAAAAAAAAAAAAAAAAAAAAAAAAAACGAACATAGGGTCAAATATTGAACGCTTATTAACCAACAATAGATACAAAATACACAATCCTAGATCTATGTTGGGTCGTTTGGGTCGCTCTCTTACCGTCGAAAAGTTTCGATCTGTTATCGTGCACTCTTAGGCATTATATATATATATATATATACATATATATATATATATATAATTATTGATCTGTACAATATCGCAATTATTAGATTTGTGTCTAGAAAAGAAGCTTCTGCCAGGATTTCGATGACCTCGTTAGAACTAATATTGCGCAATTTCTTCTTCTTCAAACCCTGGATCAACTGGCAAAGGTCTAAATTGTGTAAAATATTTGTAATTCCGTTCAATCTTAGAAACGTGGCGCAAAGAACGAATCTGACTTACAATTATATCAAACACATATAACAGAAGAATATAAGAAACAAATGCTAATAACATGGTTGTAATTAAATCATAGTTCAATAAACGATGACTGAGCAACAACAACAACCGAACGAAGGTGACAAGAAAGAAAAAAACATACCACTTAGCGTAAAAAAATTGGGTTAAGCACCGGATGTAGCCTGAATATTAACTGATACTGCAATAGCAGTCTTACCAATATCAAAACACCTATATGTACTGCAAACATGCACAAATCATTACGAACGGAACCATCGACTCTGACTCGATCGAGACATAGGGGCCATCAGCCTCTGTATTTGGGAAGCTATTGACCGTATTCTCAATCGTAAGAAAAACAAACAAACAAACAGCAATGTGGCACAGCTTACAACAGGTTTTTTTTTTTTGTGAACGTCATAGATACGTGCTTAGAAATGTGGGTTCAGCCGATTCCTGGTTAGTACAATGTAATTACCTAAATACCGACTTGCTTGAATCTTTCAAACAACAAAGAAAAGCAAATAGTCGTTCTGGACGAGTTGTTCCGGTTATGCCGTCTCACCGTTTTTGCCTCGAAACCACACGAAAAGCATTATCGCGATTAACACTTTTCTTTCTTCACAGTCTTTCCTACTATGCTTCAGTGTGGGTTGTATCGTTTCGGGACGCAATTTCCAGCTTAATTCTCGCGTCTATAAACTGCCAACTTCCTAATTTCTCACCTATCACAAACCCGAAGCTGAATCGGCTACCGACCAACAGAACTACTGCTGTTTCTACCAATCTACCGGACACGTTTCTTGTTTTACCACCGACTGAGTAACCGTAACGTGCCGAACCCAAGACCCTGAACGGCACGCGCGTTGAAAGCTCGGCCCCAAGGGATTGAGCAAATCGCTTGAATAAGGGACCCTTAGCTTCTGCTCGCACTCGGCCAGGTAGAAACGACAGTGACAACTGTATGCAAACATCACTAGCTATTTCTATTGAAGGGTCCCTTTTCATCTTTCTGGCCTTTGTTTTTATCTCTAGTAGTTTCTCCTGCGCGAAAATTTCGTCTGCTAGATGTGTTGTCACAGTTGTCAGCCAGGGTGTGAGATTAGGTCAACTTGCTTGGCCTGCAGGCAGAGTTGACAGGCCCAAACTGCCTGTGGCAGAAATGTTCCGTCAAGTCGGCAGTGGTTGATGATATGAAAGGCACAGCGAGAAGATGGCGAAAACGAGAGTCAAAAACGACACGCTCGACTAATCTATCACCATCTAACGTCCATAGTTTTCCTCTGTTTTTAGATCGGTCTTAGGCGAAGCTGCTGTCACATGTGTCTCTATTTTGTCTAAAGGTTCTTTCACTCTTCCCGTTTGTCGTTTTGCTTGTGTTACTGTGCACAAGCACAATTACTGCTAGAGCCCTGTATACTGGGGGCTCTGCTTCTTAGCCTAAATGGAACCAACCCCAGCTGTTTACGTCAATAATACCCTACCTAGGTTATGACGGAATGATATAATGAGGTTCGTTTACTAAGTTTGTATCGTTTCTGTATGCTTTTGACTTTTTACTTTTATTGCAGTTAAAACATTATATAGAATTATCAAGGAGAACCGTGCTCATACTAATTTGTGCATTAGACACTCGTAATCGAGCTTGATAAGTTTGTAAATCAACTTACCAGTTACGCTTCCAAAGGTGAACAATAGTTATACTGATTTTTTTCATCGTGACTTATTTAACTTTTGTTATCTTATTCTCAGGAGTTACGGTAGTTCTGCTAAGTGTAAAAGTTAAACTTTGGTAACTTAGCGACTACTACCTTAAACGATAATTTGTCAGCTGAACATTGAAGCAAACATTTTTAAATAGGAATCATGTTGAGAGAATACACTCTCATGCCCCTATATTTTACATGTAAAACTTATATTTTATATGAACAAATAAAACGGAAGTTTCATCTATTAAAAAACTGTGTTAAACATTGACTTCTTTAATTAGTTTTTTTTTTAAATTTTTTTTACGATTATCTCAATATTTTCATTGTAGGCGTGTCTGTCTGGGAGCCTAGAGCGATCCTAATAGTGCCTTTAATTGCAATTTGCTTTTACCGAATAATCACATCAGTCAAAAGAAAATCCGTCCATTGGGTTTTGACGCACACTGTCTTCATTACCAGAAGGTTCTCGATTAATACAGAAGAGTTGATTACCGAGCATCGTTTATTCTCCATAACATGAGACAGTTGTATAGACATATATGCTAGTATTTCTAGATGGATTATTAGACTTCAATTGAAACCGTTAGTTTATCAAGGGGTTCAAGTTGTATCATACAAGCTCTATAATCTAAAATGCAATCAGTCAAAAGCAACTATATACAGGTGTAGACAGTTTCAGTACCTGTAGAAACCAAATTAACCTAATTCGATGACCCTACTCACGAACTAGTACTGCTAACTAACTGGTTAGGTGGAGACGACAATCTATGTTTGTCACGCTCCCGTGGCATTATATGCTACCTCGTGTTACCTTTTCTAGTAGCAACTGTTGCTATCCGATAACCCGTAAGTGGCCAAGGACTGCGAGTTCTTGCCATACCCACCTGAGATCTGGTAGCCATCTTCCTCAGTCCTCCATCGTTCGCGATGTCAATGCCCCGTCACAGGACATCAACCCAGCCGTCTGAAGATGTCAAATCGCCTCTTTCGCACGCTCGAAAAAACACCGAAGGCAGCCCTTTTCAATCGATAGCAGTGAAGAGAAATACCGGTATCGTACGACCGCTCGATTGAGATTGAAACGACACCAGACCTGATTTTCTAGGTCGTTGCTTTAACTTGCCTACAGCGGAATATCTGCCAGTGATGATGAGACCGAATGGAATACGTCGGCAGAAGGCCAATGGCCATCGATGGTTTGTCGGTTCCTGAACGTCTTGAAAGAGAGCTAACTAACTGAGAGGTTGTTTTGCCATTAGTATTAAAGAATAATCGGTTGATTGTAGCCGTGAAGGTTTTAGCGTTTAGAATGAAGCTCACCAATAGTGTCAAAGTGTTATTGAAAGGTATCTCACATACTACTTCGTTTTGATTTGATGTGAACAGATTTCATATAATTTGTACGATATATATTGGAAATCCTATGTATTTTACCACTGGAGTAGTTAATCAACTGTTCTTCTCCTTATTAAACTCTCTGTATTTTCAATAACTCCAGCTAAAAAAAAGAAGCACTCTTATTTGGTTTTATAATCGTTTGTATAAATTTAACAATTGATGATTAGATTAAAACGTTTCATAAACTAACCGCTTGCAGAAATATCCGACTATTTCCGAACGGCTTGTATAGAGTTAAAGGGTCTGTATAATATTAGGTTTATAAATCGGCAAAATCTCTTCTCTCAAAAAAAAAATTAATTGTTGTTAAAGTTTATTGGAAAAGTAATACCTTGATTGTTGTTTCGGTCACGGCCAGGGCCATTGGGTGGCTCAATTGGTCATGCGGCGGGAAACTGCGTGAAAAAGAGAGTTTAAGAGACTAGCGTATCTAGCGTTCGAGTGGCGGACACGAAAACTCACGATAAAGCCGTTAAATGTAATGGAGAAAGGAAGAACGATATTTTGAAGCTATATACTGTGTTCACTAGCACAACGATTAATAGCTAAAAATCTTATAGTAAGCCCATCGAGTAAGGCACTCTCCCAAGATCTTTTTCGAGCTAAGTATATTTTCTAGTACGACCATTGTAACAGTTCAAACTGGGTCGTTACCGGTGCTAGAAAATAGTATTTTCTACCCGTTTTTCTACTCATGTTTAATAATTTACTCATGTTTATCAACAGGCTAACTGTGGTGTATAACGATTTTCCGTAAAAGCCATATTTATTCGTATAGCTTCTTTCCACGTACGCACCGCATCACAAATTACGTTTAGCAGATCGTATTTATAAAATCGCCAGTCGACCAATCATAGAAATGTTGTCATGGAGACGATCGCACCATAATTTCAATTATTAGATGAAACACTTTGAAAAGATATGATGATTTCCTTTGTTCATATTGGTTGCGCTACCCAAAAACTGCCCTGAAATACATAAGTCGTATTCCAGCGTACAAATGTCGTACGGTGATTGGAGATAGTCAATTCCATCCTAACTAAGCGACCTCCACTTTTTTTTTTGTTCATCCTGTTCTAGGTGGGGGTGCGTTCAAAAAGCTGAAGGTCGAGCCGGGTTGCTTGCCCCTTACAAGTGCCGCTGTAGCGGCGGTTCACAGTCCTCAGGCAGCTCTTGGATCACCAGCTTGTCTGCCACAAACGCCCGCTAGACGTCGTCATCGGTAAGACAACTGTATGGATTTAAGTCAGTACTTAGTGTCCCCGCAATAGTACGATGGTAACGCGTCCGCCCATAGGCCTGACGTACATGGAGATGGTTTAGACACGGCTCTGAGTTTAGACAATTTTGGTTTCAAACTGGCGGTCAATCGTTTGAAATAATACTTCATGGTAGTATCCAACGTAAAATCCTAAACAATTCTCTAGTTAAAGTGGACCCCTGCTTTTTGGCACCAGCTCGTCTAGTAGAATGTCAGAATCTGATCGTTGATGAGAAGGTCTATTCAATAATAACGGGAAAGGACGTCGAAAATCTTGGCTCTTTATATAAACTCAATATAAAAACTTGGTCAAGTTTTTAACCTACGAAGATGTTTTAACTGTAACAAAGACATCGTTATCACGAAAATATTTTCGAATTAAAAACCTATAATTGCATTTGAGGGCTTCTTAATCAATTGTAAGCACCGCGTAAGAGGATTCGACTATACAGACCGTGATAGTTGGGACCCAAAACTGTTTTCTTTTTTAATATGTTAAAATTTTTCAATTACTTTTACGTTGCTCTCGCGTAGGTAACGATAAGTATGAGGAATAAAAAACAAAAGGTCCTAATATATTATTAGAGATAATTCAGTCGTCCTATGTATTTTTGCTTGCGATGATAAGTTCCACTGGATAGGATTTCGGAAATTGTGGCTGACACATATAACATATGTCCCTTTTATCCCTATTAATACAATACACGTACGTGTATTACAAAGCACACACTAGATCTTGTGACCTCTAGTTGTTTCCTAATATTGGCAAAAAACTCTTGCCATAGCGTTGTCAGTGCAAGGCTTGGAGAAAAAGTTGGCAACATGCTTTCAAGCACTTTACACTAACGGTGCACAGATGAGTACACTTTGAAAGGGTATTCTGCCTTTTTTACTATATATGCCCTTGGACAAGGAAGAACTACATGAGAGGCTCCTTTTTTGACATGTGGACGGACACACCCCGGACAGCCTACAAAGAAGTCCCGTCGAATTGTCTTCGATAGAGTCCTGTCGGGAAAGGCCTTAATGGGAAACGGGTGCTGCGTAGAGGCGATGCAAGTATTCTGATTTAGCCGGTAAATTGAATTGACTAGAGGGACTCCACCGCGTCCTTCTCCATCTAATCCCATACGGTTCACATAACCGAGGTGACTATACTGCCTTTGAAAGCCAAAGGCGTGTTTTATTGCATCAAAATAGGGGACCTCATACCGGCATGTACCCATATTAAATTGAATATTGCACTTGGCTCATCATATAGCAGTCGCGTGACCGACGGCGTGGGATACGCTAGATTGCGTGGTGTTCCGTGTGTACAGAATATAGCTGCTTTTATACGAAGTGGGGTTGTTTTACACAAAAAAACTTGTTGGTCTTGTTGATTCTAGAGCTATCTGCTGGGCTTGCGAAATGCTTAAGGTACAATCGCTAATAAATTACTTTTATGTTATTGTGTCACTTTTTAGGACGACGTTTACCCAAGAACAGCTTCAGGAGTTGGAATCAGCATTCGCCAAAAGCCATTACCCAGACATTTATTGTCGGGAAGAATTAGCCAGGATCACAAAGCTCAACGAGGCAAGAATACAGGTAAGGAATAACGTTCTAGTGAAACATACGTTGAATATGCGGGAAAATATTCGTCCCCGCTAAGCCCGATTTCTCCAATCCTGTATTGTTTCTCACCACATCTTCCATTGGCTTAAAAGCACCGCGCTATATTCTATTATTCACTGAATCTAGTGTTGTTCGTTTCGCGTCGCAGGTGTGGTTCCAGAACCGCCGCGCCAAGTATCGCAAACAAGAAAAACAGCTTCAACGCGCCTTGGCCGGACCTTCTGCCATGATTCCGGCGGCCTGCATGCGATCCATGTACCCAGGTCCTGCGGGCATGGGTGTCGGTGGGGTCGCGGTAAGCGGGCATCAGCAGGGAGCCGTTAGTGGATACGGCTCACCAGGAGGTTACGGAGGGCCGCCCGGAGCACAGACATTGGGTGGCCCCTCTTCTTCGCACTACATGGGGTCACAGGGTCCTCAGCCACCAGCTAGTCCCTATTGTGGCCCTGCTCAAGGGCCAACAGCTAGCCCTTTCCACTCGCACTCTCAGGGGGGATCTGTCAGTTCGGCCGGCAGCTCACCTGCTCACGAATGGTATGCTAAGGTAAGTCAACAAAAAGCTGAATCTTATCTCAGCAAAGAATCTATGCTTTGAACGAATGTATGACACAAACGAACACGTCGGCGCTGGCTTTGCTCGATGTTTAGCCTAGATGGAACGGAGAATAGATGTCAGGCGCACGAGATAATACTGTAATAAAGAATGCGTACGTACGCCAGTAAACGACGAATACGAACCTTTAGAGTAAGCTGGGGCTCGTATCCTCTGTAAAAACCGAAAGTTGGGCTTTCAGATTCAGGAACAAATAGGGTGCCAATTCTATTATTCAGTGTGCTTTTACACCGATTTAAAACTGCGCCTGTTTCAATCTTTGGTTTATTTGCAGAATTGCAATTCAACGTAACGTTCAAGGTGACATCAAAATAATAGAACAAGGTAGAAGCAGATGTCTGATAGGGATTATAGTTACAATCTATCAAAAATATAGATCGTATTTAATTGTCGCGTACGAAATAGAAGGGCTATTTGACGCAATTTTGCTTATTAGACGAACAGACTGTGGAACGTCCTGAAGTTTCAGGCCTGGTTTCTAAGCCCACATAGACGGCGTGTTATTGATTGGAAGCGTGATGTCGATCGCTTTCGAAGCAAACAAAGCTGACTTCCTTATTCGGTCTCAGTTTAACTATGACTACAAAATTTAGGAATGTTTCTTTGGAGCCGGTGCACAACCTAAACGGCAAAACATCTGGGGAGCAACTTTTAAAAATTAAACAACGAATATGTAGAAACGTGGTTGTAAGTTGAAGTTGGTACGAAGGCTAATTTATCGCGTATTCTCATCTTCGTATTTCAGAGCGGCGCACTTGCTGGATTGAGGTTAAACTCGTCGTCGTTACACTATCCCTCAAGTTAAGTTCGCATCTTTGTTAGGCCAGGTGACTGCGTATCGACCTATGGCCTCCGGCAGGCAGTCGACGTGCGCGGACTGAACGCTTTGACCTCTAGTGGTACACGCAAACCAATCAATACAAAGCAATGCCACCAGATATATTCATTAACGCCAAATTACTACAGTGGTACGCTGTGTAAGATGTCGCAGCGATGCCCGAAAGACGAATTGGTCTAATGGACTGAGATTTTCAATCCATCAATTAGAAGTCCGAAAATAATCAAAACTCAGACGTCGATCCGACAGGAAGGAGTCGGTCTGCGAAGTCTAAGAATTAGCATAGACGCCTAGTCGCATATGACGAAGAGATCTCGATCGGAGATTCAGTTTCGGTGGTGGTTGGGTAGCCAAAACTCAGAAACTTTGAAAGAAATGCTCGTAGGACCGGGGCGCTGAAAATGGTGCCGCAAATATTGTCAATCCTCAAATGATGTATATATGAGAGTCTTGTATATTGCACTTAAATGACGATATATATATATATATATATATACATATATATTACCATAATGATGATAGGTAATAATTACCAACAGTTCCCAATATTTTTGTCAGTGGCACTATCCGAAGAGAATTTGAAAAGTTAACCTTCTTCTCAGCGATAGCCTTCTTGGGTAAAAAATTTAATCTATGTAGGAATAAGAACTTTAACAAAATAAACACGTATCCGTTTTTACGCTTTAGCTAAACGTCTACCACTGCAACACAAAGATGATAAGCTTATATATGCCTAAGCTGTATACTTACATTCCGGGCTTTTTGCAAAAGAAGATAGCGTCACTATAGCGATACATCCAAATATTATAATTATAACAACATGCGACATCGAACTCCCACGCAGTCAACTATATAATAATCGCCGCGTAACCAACCCTTTCTAGTCGTAAGCGGCCGTTTGTCTTGTATACCACGCCATCTGGCATATTACAGGATACACTTGAAGAAGTAAGAACAAGGAAAAATAGAACGTGGCCTCTATTTGAAACAGTACAAAACAGAACCGAAATGATAACACCTATAGTTGCGTATAATGCCGTCGGAAGGGGGTTTTCGAAAGAAATCCTATATAGCCAAAGAAAAGGCCATCGAAGGTAACCAACCTATCTCGAATGATCCAGATACACTTCTGACACTGATAGTGCTTTCTGCGACGAGTGGATTAACACAGCGGCAAGTGATAAATTATTTACAAGATTATCACATTGAAGCTCACTATAAGACTTGCGAACTTACGTGCTTTCTGAATCAAATTGTTTTTGTCAGGACAAACAGACAATCTGTTTTGCTAGTCGACGGCAAAGTTAAGGTGGCAATTAAGTTATGCTCTAGTCATGCGCGTTATATAGAAGAGTGAGCTAGTTCGTAGTCGGGAGTGATCGTAACTTGACAGTCCCCCTATCTATAAATAGATGGTCTGTGCGTCAAACGAATAGCAAGAACGGCTCAACGCATTCTGCTTCCGTTTTCAACAGAGGTCATAACACTGAATATCGAGAGTAACCCCATATTCGCCAGTGCTAGAGGGCAGATTCTTCAGCTGACCCGAGCTTGCAGGCCTACTCGTTCGATGTTCGTCCTAATGATAGATATATCGGCGGATAGTAACTTTTTCGCTTTAACTTTTGCTGGGTGCTTTGACAGCCATAGCAATGCACGGTATGATCTTCCAGCGTCAACGTAACTATTCTCGATAAACGCTGATGATAATTTAACAGCTTCATCTACCTGTCATAACTGCGAGTAATTCTCAAGACATCCTAACCCCTGAGACAATTTACTGTGCACTGTTTGTTGACGCTGCAGAAACACTAAACTGAGTTTGGTACGGGAGTTCAAAATTCAAAATGGCCGCCATCTGTAACTTAGCGACAAATCTCCGTCATCGCGCCAACGAATAGCACACAGTTGTAATCTATAACGGTATCTTAGTCTGTTCAGATAGGTGCCTCGGCTAGACTCATTTGACCGCATGTGATTACAAAGCAAACTGAAAATGAAAAAAGCAGATCTTTACATATGAGCGAACTCTGAACATGATCATGTTATAACGAGCATGATTATGATGTGTAGAGAAACAATCTTTGTTGAGGCTTTGATAGTTGTGTAGCATTCACGCTAGTTGGCAGGACGTGGATCAATCTTCGAAAAGGTCTTACTAGATGTGCTTGCTATGGTGGGAACTCATAGTCAATTATGTTGATATTTGTCACTGTCTTCTACGTGGTATAAAAAAAACTTCAATGCAAGTGAATGAGCCAACTTCTCTTTTGAAAGGTCCACGGACCCTTTCACCATTGCGAGGCAGTGCAAAAGAAACAAGGCGAGAAAATTAGCCGAGACAGATCGATAAATGGTTGAGCTAACTAAAACGACAGCGCCAGAAGAAAACCGTTGGAGAAACAGAGATTACCAAACGAGTCATTAATCGAGATGGAAAAAACTTCAGATGAAAAAAAGTTCAGATGTATATATAACACAACAACAACAACAACAAACAAACAAACAAACAAAAACTTCGCCGGCTTTAGGCTATTAATTAAACGGCAAATCAAATATCGGCTGTCTGTGCTACCAATGCAAATTTTCGTCCTAAAAAAAACAAACGGGGTCACTGGTAAAGAACATTCTTTTTCTTTATGTGAACGACAATGCTATCCTTATACGAAGAGTAAAAAAGCGGATGAACGAACCTTGAGTGTCTATAGGCCTATATATATATATATATAAAATAATGCATTGAATTATATAATGCGGTGATGAGCAAAGCCAAATGGACAAACACTTGAACGAGAACACGTGCGACAGCAACAAAGCGGTTTCAGCATACAAGCCGATGTCTATATAAATACAAAAAAAAAAAATAAATAAATCCGCACTAAAGAGGATGAATGAAAATGAGATATCCAGTCAATAATAATAATTATTATTATTGCTATTATTATATCTTATTATTATTATCAATCATTGCAGTACAGTCATGGAGGAGGAGGAAATGGAGATCCAATGGCGAAAAGAACAAGACGAGTATGATATTATATGAAATAATGCGGAAAAGGTAAGAGATAAAATCATACATTTTCTGTATAAAGTCGTAAATACTATATTCCTATATGATTGTGATTATAATAATGACGCTGAGATAATGAACACGAGATAATTCGTATTAATTATTCTACGACAGTGAAAGCGAACGAAAGGAGAGTCGTGGTAGTTATAGCCGGCGGAAAGTAATAAAACGATAAGTAAAGTAACTACAAGAAGTGTCACGAACGTGACAAAAACAAACAAATAAATAAATATAAACATCTCTATAACTCTATAATTCATGAATCTTTTGTCATTTTTTTTTATATATCAACTAATTCTCTAAGGGAGCGTGCCTTGAAATAGGCGTTAAAAAAAAGTACCCAGCGGAGAAAGACTCATGAAAGCGAGCTATATAACCAACTTTAGGTTGTTATTGGCTTCCAATTTGCCGTTTGTCAGAGCTAAAACCTAAAGACGCTTTGAATTTTACATAGGGTACTATCTTGGTTGAGCATTGTTCGATCACAGAACGAGCCACACGTCTAGCCCTGCTCTGTGCTTTTAAGCTAAATAAATGTTCAATGCAATTTTTATTTTTAGTTTGAACTTCACATCCGATTCTGCAAGGATTTGTGCTTCAGACGGTCGGTGGCTCCTCTCAGCGCGAAACGAGTCATGCGTTTGTCTACGTCAAATTTCGAATCTAGATTCAATTCCATCGTGTGTCCCTTATTTTTGTAGGTGAAAAGGACTGAAACCTGTCAACACCTGTCAAGTATCCGTCCCCGAGTAACACATGAGCCTTGTATCACAGTGGAGACCACTTTTACGTGTACGATGGAAATCACGTAGATTGATATTTACGCTGACCATAAGTATCTGTACGGCCAGTATAGGTACCGCTATACTCATTAACTATAGTAATTATAATAAACTGAAAAAAATTATAGAGTGATTTTGCCTCAGTCCCAATAAATGGGTGCTTGTTCTTCACGAAGTGATTTATGTCTTGCTCGGCTTCGGTCCAACAAAAGGTGGCTGGTTCCAGTCAGGAGTCATTCTGTCCTACTACCATCCATTCGTCCTTATACATAGTAAAATCAAAGCAATTAGGAACAATTTTAACAATAAACAATAGTCGGCAAGACTTCAGAATAACTAGCTTTTTTATGTCGCTCTGAATACAGACGAATTCGAGCTGTATATGCTACACTATCCTCAAGCAAGTTTTTCCGTTGAAAATACCCGCCCAACCGTAGCTAACATCAATGCAGCTCATCTTGTCCAACCTTAAGCATAATTATGCTACTCGTAAGCCACACCGATCAATTGAAAATAGACTTGTCTCGACGTTTTTTTTTGCATTGAGTTCGTACCTAGGAGTGACAATTTAACATTATGTAAATCAATTATGTGTACCGATATTAGCCCTATCTGCTCAGATCTAGCGGCGATCATAACGTGGGTAAGAAGTGGGTCCTTATCGTTTTCTATATTAGCACTCTTTCAAATTTCAAAATTTACGCAAATTTAGATGCGATTTCTTCTAGCGACCTCTTCTAATTGTTGTATTGCTCAAAATCACAAGCCAGAGCACGCTCAGAGCAGAATTCTCGGTTAGAATCGTACCGGTAAGAATCGTACTGTTATTAGGATTATTATTATTAAATAACATAAAACGAGTAAAACTGATGACCCAACGATTTCTTTCGCTGACTCAGCTTATTCACAGGTAAATTTTCAAAAAGTCCTTTCTACCTATTTTAACCCTATCTATGTTCTATGTTCATCATTTTCTACTTATTCAACAGTTATCTATCTTGGCAAATAATAAAGTCGACCGTTTATTTATTTTTGTCTATCTGTTATTTCAACACACCATTTTAATGGGTGCGGAGAAGGCTGTATATACATATATACAGAGTGGTGCGTTTAAAATGAAGGAGGTTTTGGCGGGCTGTGTGCTGTAACGGGCATACGTTTATTCGTTCCTTTTAGCACCATGAGAAAGCCGGTTCCTTCTAGAACAAAACATCAAAGTCGTGACGGCAAACAGCGGTGCGTCGTTTTCAGAATTTGAGCGAAGGTCAGCTAATAACCAATCTATGGATGGACTGGACGAAGCCCTGTCAAAATTAAAAATTTCCTTTTTTTTTCTGGTCTCAACGGTCTATTGCCAGTTTTCATGCGGCTTCTGAAAAATCTTAGGCAAACCTTTATGAGGCAAACCGGCAAAAACATGACTTCAAGGGCTTAAAAATTTATAAAAATGGCCCAAAAAGCCTTTCTAATGCACCTAAATTTTTGCTATAAAAATCAACAGGTGCTTTAGAGAGAAGAATATCAGTTGCCAATTTAGTCGCCCAGGTACGCTCCGATGGTTGGTTTTTTTGAGACTTTTACACCTTACGAATTTTCTAACGTTTTGAGCTTTTGCATTTTTCAAACTTTAAGCTTACAGTTAGCTCAAAATTTAGTTTGTTTGAAATGTTTGTATGCGTACCGTGCTGCACTTCAATGGGTTAACACCTATTAGTGTCGCCTGACATACGGTTTCTGTCAAAAAAGTATCTGTAGATTAACTGAGAAATATAATAAACATGACTAGCGAGTGGTTTACTTCCTCAATCGAAGCTGCTATAATAATACATGGTGATTACATTCAATAAGCGTGACCGTGATAATGATACTTTAAGCACATACAGATAATTTCGTTCGAATATATGAGTCTGTTTAGATAATACCTTAGGAATAAGGCATGAAAAAATTCTCAATTCAGGCGCGCCATGCTGTATATATATGTGTGCCTTAAATAAGGAAAAGAGTAAGTAATGTTGCTAAATATATATGAATGAAAAGGCTCGAACTAGAAACCCTAATGACTATTTGAAAGCTACTATCTTCAAACAGCACTCCGACATAACTTCTGGTATTTCTGATTGGTTTTTGCTACAAGGTAATTCTGTTTAATTCTTGATAAACCGATGGTAAAAATGATACAGTTAACAAGAAAAAAAAAAAACGTTTCTACTGGCAATAACGTCGGTTGCTTTTTTTTGTACAAGAGCTTGTCTTACTCACCACCGTCCTGCTTTGTTCCTTCTTTGTTTGTTGTTTTGTTTAACTAAAGTACTTAGCATTCTAACTGCATAAGGCACCGCTTTGGTGCTGTCTTTATTGGAATAATTCAGTTACCTAGGCTATAAATTGCCTACCCTCAAAGATTTTTGCCTACCCGCGGATTAAATTCAAGCTGCTAAAGTAACGGGCGACGCTGTCACTAGTTCGTAACTTTGAGGGCCTGCATCCAGAAGAAACCCTTCATAATATGTTTGTACTTACTGTAATAATTTCCTTAGCAGCGAATAACCCATTCATTGTTACTATGGCGTTGACGATTAGCGTTCAGTTAGCGTAAATTCTTCACAGAACTTCGACGATACTATTACAAATAAATGCAAACATATAAACGCACATATGGATGCATATATATATATATATAACAGCAGGTTTCGTGGGTCATAGCAATGGAGCTTTAAAAACTTTTGACTCATGTGGATTTTCTCTATTTTCACTCATCTGTGTTTTTGACAACATGACATGGTCGTAGGCGACCAGCATATCTCCGGGCGTGTGTGTCAACACTGATTAGCGAAAACAGCAGAGAAATTGAGAAGTATCGTTTCCTCCCTCAGGTAAACGGCAGAAATGTTCAACATACTAACGCATGTATACCACATATGTATATCCATTCGTGATACGAACGAAGTAGATATGGATGGCGCTGTGTGCCATTCATATCTACTTCGTCTTCAGAAAATAAATATAAAATGCAGGATGCTCGTTATAAATCATTACCTAAGACGCATAACCACCGCTCTACCCTTTACGGTTTTTGCACACATTTTTGTTTGGGGCAGGACAGCAAACATCTTTGCGTAGAAAACACAGAGTACCTGCCCTAATGTAATTCCAACATTAGTTCTTTCGGGAATCGGATGGATGCAATTTCTTTGCTGGTTGCTTCGACAACAACGTAAAGACAACGTTATTCTATATTTGTACTACTATTGAGGTCGTTATTGTTACTGCTGCTGTCGCTGCAGCTGAGGCGGTGTGGCATCGTGATACAATTGCTCTAGGTAGCGGTTGTTCCTGAGAGTTTCCTTCATGGCGACGTCTACTGCTGGTCATGGCGGTGCTCGTACGGGAAACCAGCGACTTGCGATGCCAGAGCAGACTGTCCTTAGCCGGCCATCACAAGCCGAACGAATTCTGCGAACATAAGAAAAACACAGCCAACATGGTATAGTTGGGTAATCAGATAAAGATATTTGAATAAAAGACCCCAAACAAAGCAGTAGATAAAAAAAAAAAAAAAGCGAAGATTTTCTGCTTCTCAGGCAAAAACGAAAGCTGCACAGAGAATTGTTAGGATTATCTAGGTAGGAAGGTTCCCTGGTAGTAAAGGGGTTTGGTAATTTTGCGTGTATGTCGCGAGGAGTGCAAAACATAGCTAAGGGATGCGAGTGTATTAGTAGCATCCCATGGAGGCCCTCTTATGTTTAAGGGGTACTGCTGACCGTACGGAAAAAAACTGAATGTCTAAACATGGTTAAATTACTACGAGTACTTTGTCTTACATGCTTGTAAACATTTCTCCAATTAGGGTTTTTAAACAGAGAACCGTGTGCTTCCTCCGAATCTGTGATTCGATAATGTTTTTTGTCTATATCTCCATTTGAATGGAATTTGAAGCAAATACGTTCCCGATTAATTCTGTAATTTTTGCTTAGATCTACTAGAATACTAGCAAGAGTTGCGATGTATCTCCAATACATCTGTATGTGTTGTGTGGTTACTGATCCTTACCTGGCCGTTTTAGCCAACATTTTACATTAGTCAGTTCAATCAGCATGCATTTTAATTGGCAACATATAAGTACTTCTGACCAAAGCATCGTTTTTCTTAACTCCGGGACTTCTCTTAGAAAAAGACGTTCAAATTGCTCGAAGAACTTCGACCGAACAAATGATTCTTCAGGAGCGGAACTCTACCAGAGCTGCTGCCACTAGCTGCCCGGCTCTTTACCAACTTGAGTGCACTTTACTTCATTACTCCATCTAGCCATCTCACCTTTCTAACCAAGTTGATCTGATGCTTCCTTCTCAGACGTCCTGTTTCTATGGTTCTGATGGTCGGTACCCGTGGCTCTTTCCTGCCTACTAGGAAGGCTGTCGGTCCTGAGTAGCCAAGAAGACACACAGAAACGAGAGGAAGAAGGAGAGCCGGTTCTGCTATGACCTGTTCAGTTCGGCTCGTCTAGCCAGTCCGGCCCGCCCTAGAGGCAGGAATCACTCAGCAGCCGCCTCCTTGAACCATTCCTCGAACTTCCCCGAACCCCCCTCGCCAACCTTCTGTTGGCAGACCGCGCCAAGTAAGTGGACGAGTAGACGACATGGTAGAGAGGCAGGTCGACTTGTGCCTAGCGGTTGCCCGCGGTAAAATGGCTGGCGCAGGGCGTAGACACGACCCAAGTGTTGACTGGTGTGGGCAAAAGGCTGCCTCACACATCTGATGTGCTACTCCTCTCTCCTTTTCCTTCTTTCGTAAAGAGAGAACACTTTGCAAGTAGAGACCGTAAAGCAGAAACTGTAAGAAAGAACAGGCCAGCCCAGCGGCTCGGGACAGAAGAACCAAGGCTGATCGAAGCCGCTAGCTCGTGTGTTTGACTGAATGGATGAAGGGCAAGTCCTCGGTGAAGGCGGGCGTGTGCCATAAGGCGGGCAACGCAATTCGCCATCCCTTCCCGCTACTTGCTACCGTCATCGGCCCATGTTCTTTGGCCAAGCTATCTGTGCTAGTACTAGCTTCTCGCCCCAGACAAGATCCCTTTTTGCCTCCATCTAAGAGCAGGGTGGTGGTTCTACCACCATCCCGAACGCCTTAGCCCCTATCTCCGCGACCAACACAGTCCTTCCTGCTGCCACGAAGAAGAGAGAACAGCAGCAGCTCAGTTATCTCGCCGTTTTTGTCTCGCTTTCTCTCTCTGCCCCCAGCGTCTAGTACGTCATGCCTGCGAAGAAACAAGGCGAAAGCCCTGAAACATACAGGTTCGTAATTCCCCTTATGAAGGAAGGAGCTAAGCCAATTCTCCGCTTCCTAAGCTCCAGCCAACTAGGCGCCAGGCGGCTATCTAGGTTAGACGAGGCTTGACTTCAAGGTTAGCTGACGACCTAAGCAAGTAGCCTTCTAGTGCCGCCTCCTATCACGCTCTCTCCTATGAGCTGACAACCATCTTTCGCCTCTGAATGCTGCGGCTAGACAATTCGATGAAAGAGGGAGAGAAGACTAGGCGAGAGTTTCAAAGTATGGAGCAAATACTTCACTCCTGTACCATTCTTTTCCGCCATCTCTGCAGAACCCCTCAGCCTTATCAGAAACACGGCTCATGACTCGTGATGGTCTGCGAGTTGACTCAAAGCACCAGTGCTTTTCCTCTATTCTCTAGACCACGCCACTCGCAAACCGCCTTACTCAGGCCATGCCCTTTTCTCCAACGAGCTCGCACTGGTATCCCACTATGGAGAGCTTCCGCTACGATCTATCGATGTGAGAGAATCTCCTGTTAGCTTTTTCAAGGGAAAGTTATAGGGGTTAAACAGTGTGCCGGAATGGCATTGAGCATGGCATGGTGATGGCGATGTAAGAAGCACGAGGCAACTGGAAAACGCCGAGGCAGAGTTCATAAAATAAGGGAAAGTCAAAGAGGGACAGAGAGTCGCAGCAATGAAAGCCCCGCGCGAGAGAGAGCCCAGATCAAAGACCACGACTACTACGAACACATGTACACACAGACACAGTACTGCATTGCACTGGACTACAGCGACGTTGGCACCCAGACACGGAGGTTTGGCCGCCGTTGAAGTTGCTTCCCTCTCACCTAGCTCGCAGGCAGCTACGGAAAGAGTAGATTCTCCCACAACGGGGACATAATGCGATGGGAGAGGCCCCCTAGGAGGCTGAGGAACAGACTAAAACTAGAAGATTCAATGAGAAGCAGGCTTTGCCGCCTACCCTTCCCTCTGCTAAGCGACGTTCTGCCTGTAGACTTGGCTACCTTGGGCTGGCAGGCATATATACTGTAGATGCTCGTTCACACATACAAACACTCAGCATTGCCTACAGCAGCTGCGTCCCATTTCGGATGAAAACGAAGGGCTAGCCATATAACATCGATGAAGTTTACGAAAAACTTGTTCAACTACAACGAGAAACGGGGACATCGTTATTAGAAACAAGGCAACGCTACTCAACTGTGAGAGATGATGGTTGCTTGCGGCTCAGTTGAAGTTGGCTCGAAACATCACACAAAATAAAATTATGCTAAAATTATAATTATTGAAATGAGTTCTGGTCCGCGCAATGCACTACCAGCTTGTTTCCTTATAAAAGCATGAACACTAAGTTGATGAAATATTCAATTTCGGTGTTCGGTAAGTCGTAGGTTGCCCCACCCCATCTGAATTTCTAGTCAGCGTACGTTCTGTCCGAAAAACTCTATCGTAAAATACGTCGTTCGTGGCTAGCTAATACCACTGGTTAAAAACACTTTGATGTTTCACTACTGTGAATGACGTGGCGTTATATAATTGTCGCTAGCTAATTTGAGTGGTGCCAAAGACCTTTTTATTGAACTGTGTTGACAACTTAAATAAAACTTGACATCGGCAAGTTATCCGGTCAAGACTCCGTACCGCATAGTGTTTAATTTCCTAAGCTACACTTCATTGTAACTTTGATGAGAAACGTGTGCGAATTGCAAAAAAAGAGCTCTTAAGACTCTCCAATCCACAAATGGGATGTTGCTCGTAAACGAGTTCCGCTTCACCGCCCGGTTTGGCTATGTTTAGTTAAAAAAAAAAACGCATAGGGTTTTGTAGCAACAGACACAGTCATTATGTGATGTAGGATTCTAACCCACGAAACCTGAATGCTTGTACTTGGGTTTCGAATCGGTTAAGGATTTACTTCACAGCACATAAAATCCTTTATTTCGTTGTTTGACACAAGGTAGAGAATATAACCTCGGAATACGAACTATAGTATTACATTGCCATCGGCACTATCTGCATCTAATTATCAAACCCCATCTATTAGTTGGATAACATTGAAGAGACGTTCGCACAGTGCGCTTACCCTCATAGTTGATGTTTCCCTGGGAATCCTCAAGGCCTTCGAGGATCTGCTCCGCTTCCTCTTCTGTGAGGCGGTCCCCAATTGAAGTTAAGATGCGGCGCATTTCCACGGCCAAAATAAAGCCATTACCTTCTTTATCAAAGTTTCGCAACACCTAAAAAAACATGTAATGAAAGCAAAAATAGGTCATTTAAATAAAGTAAAGAATGTTTATTCGAGATTATAATAATTAGAGATTATTCGGTTTATAAAGAACAATTCAAAATTGAGAGTTTTTTTTTTGGATAGAATGCAAAATCCTTTATAACCGGCTGTTGTAGTGTCACTCAATATGCGTCAATGCAAGTTACGTATATATATCAAAACGTAAACGACTCCTCGTTGGTAAGCTTGTACCAAAAGCTTGCAGACAGGAAACGATCATCTAGATATTACTAGGACGTTTATCCTATGAGTGCTAAATAATAAAATGGCGCCAGATAATTGCTAGATGTAATAGTATGAGCCGACGGACCGTTACGACGAAAAATCTTTACAATGTTATGTGTTACAACAAGCTCAATGTTATATACATACTAACGTAGTATTATGATTAATATGTTTTACATTATGAACTCAGATAAGTCCTTAAATAATCCGTCAATTACGGCGACCGGCTTGCCCAAGAATGTGGGTTGCCTTAAATAAATGATTATGTTTATCTTGTCTCTTGTGTAGATGCTGCGGGTGCGTCGGTCATGGTTCAAATACCAATCAAGAATACGGATAGATCAGTGGCAGAGCTTCGTTATCGGGTTGGGGCGTAAATATGGGCATGCATCGCTTAACCCAATGCTAGGATTTAGCCATTTGGAAGGCGCTGTTTTGTTGAACCCCACTGTATTTAGTCCCTCTCATTCCTACGTATCGAAAATGTCGCTTTAGTATATATTTTTGATGTGTCTCACACAACTGATTAACAAAACCAATTCTACTGGTCGTAATTGCCAACATCAAACATAATCAGATAGAACGCTGACTGTAAGGAGCTGTAACTGTGCCGGCTGTAGTTTCGATGTCGCAATGAACGGTGACGTGCAGAACTCCATTTACGTTTAATGGAAAAGATACCGCATTTTCAAACTCATCACGTGCCGATAATTTACCACTTACCTCAACGAAATCGCCTTCGCTCGCGTCGATCTTGTGTTTACTGATGGCGTTCAAAATCGGCATAAACTCATCAAAGGAGATCCGGTCATCTGTTCGAAAGAGGACAAATGGACGATGAAACCATGTATGAATTGATTAATAAATAATCGTTACTGCGCAAATGTCCGGTTTAGCACGGTAACGCATTTTGTAGGATCGAAAAAGATAGTAGACCTTTAATTCTTAACAACTATGTCGGTGTCAACCTTCACCGACGTCGAAAGGGTACGTACGGAAAGAAGGGATATCTAAATGCTCGAAAGGTAGCTGTTGCGTTTCAGTGATGCTGTATGAATGATCTACAGAAGCTCTATGACATCTTGTCACGAATTGTAAAAAAAGATCATTTGCCCTCAGCAATTCAATTTCCACGTAAACGCTAGATATTGAACTAACATAGAAGCCATAGACATAATAGGGCTATACTGGGAGGAAAAATATTTTCTACGGGAACTTTGGTCTTATCGAAGAAATTAGAAGAAAACAAGAACTATGCAGACGCTGAAATAAATACTCTAAACGTTAGTAAAAATGTTTAATCCTAGATACACAACACTTACCGGCCTTATGGTCGGCAGCGCATTTCCTCAGGGCAACCTCCGTCGGATTTTGTCCCACGGCACGAAGAACGTCACCGATTTGCGATACCGAAATTTTTCCATCACCAACAGTGTCGTATAAATGAAATGCTTCTTCAATATCTAATCGTGTCACCGGCCAGTTACGAGATAACAGAATGCAAACAACGGACAAATCATAGTATCGTCATAGTAGCCGAATCGCCTTACCTAAGGCACCACGTTGAACCTAGTGCTGTCAAAGCTAAAATAGTTATAACGGTATATCTTGTTTGTGGCCATAGTCAATTATTCGGGCGGGCAAAGAGTGATACGGCGAACAATGACAAATACCGTGAATGAAACAATTGCTTCATTTACGTTCCAGCTTCAGTTTTACGTCCACTTTTTTCATTAACGACATTTTCGATACATCGATCCGTACCGAGTCTGGCGTCCTAGTCACGCGTGGCCTTCAATCCGTGATCGTCTTCACCCAACACTCGTGTTAGCGTAGTGGGTAACGAAATTGGCTATCTGTGTTTAGGAGCGCGTTGTGGTCTAGGTTCGAATCCGTAATGCATACACAGGGAGAACTTGTTTGGTGATCGTGTTCGACGGAATGTCTGCCTAACGGTGATGCCGCACATAAAACTCGAAACATAAAGACCTTCAACCAATAAGAAGATAAATTTTTCGTTCTAAAAATATCCTTCTCGATACGTTGCTGCAGTCCTAACAACAATCATGGCATAAGACTTGCGGGAAGTTAATAATATAGGCTTATAAGGAAAGAAACGTAAAGAACATTTTAGTTTTGGCTCTACGTTGTCGCATTCTACATTTTTCCTACAGCTTCCTATATTTTTACATTACCCATAACACACCGCATACGTTTTTCCGTAAGTTATTATTCCTATTTTTTTTTCTCTGGCCTTCCCTTTAAGATGAATAGAATACACACTCCGCGTTGTCTCCGAACGTAGCGTTTTCGTTACGGACGCTCAATACGATGTTAATATTGTTTTTGGGCAGAGCGCTTTATCCCCTTAATTTTATTCACTAACAGTGATCTCCGTGACTGGTCGATAAATAGCATATCGAACGCTACAAAAAAAAAAAAAAAACTATTATCGTAATACGGCCGCGAACGCTTTCACAAGATGGAAGACGGCCTGAAAATTAACGATGGCTGGTGTAGCACAGAGGGAGGGCGTTTATAAAGACCTATTGACTCATAATTGCCATGACAGAATCGACTACGTTTGGCTAATCGGTATCCAAATGTACCGCGCAGAATTTAGAATAATTTGAAAACGTTCACTTTCGAGTAACAATTTCAGTTTTCATCTACATACATAGCAGATACATAAGCACATTGACACCTATGTAACACCACCGTATAATGTATGAGCTAAGCATACATTTATATTGTCTTCGTGGATTTCTATCTATTGTTCACTGGTATAGACGTGCTTTTTATAAGTAATTTCTTAATAATAATAAAAGAGCGAACGAGATAATGGCTAGTTTTGTAAATAAGTAGCCCGCTCCAATGTACAATGTAACCGTTGGTGGAAGAAAAATGGGTTTTTTATTCTGTTATTCTGTTCTTGTTATTACAGTACCGATTTTGATTCAAGAAAGCGGCGGTCTTATTTAAATTATTAAAAAATCAAATAAAACGATACACGTTCAACAGAGCCTAAGCACCGTTTTTATGGCTTTTGCCATTTGTGTTGCATTTCTGTTTTAGATTTATGTAGGCATACGGGTCAGCAACGAAGACCTACATAACGGCCAGGTACCATGTGCAAACCAAGTGACAACGATATGTATTAGCCTGTACGTGCGTGAAAAATAAACGTAATATTAAAAACGTTAACTTCCTTTCAAATGATACGGCGCCAATTGAATACAACAACGTTCTTTGTTAAAGAAAAAAGTAACAGCGGATCTGATTCTCTATACTACGGAATCCTGATCCGACAGATTTCGAGTCGTTCACATCGTATATATTGCCCGTACAAAACATAGAATATACGTATTCCCCGCTGCTAGTTTACGGCGTCTAAGAACATTCCCAGATAAATACGAGGGCATTTCATAATTGTAGCAGCCACCGACTACATACGACTTTGTCGCAGTTCATCTATTGTCGTCACTTATTATGATTATACTTAGGCCGGCTGCACGAGTCCTGTTTGACCCGCACAGGCAGGTCCGCCGTCCCAGCTACACAGGCCCAGGCTCAATTTGTGGGTCCATTAAATAGTTTTACTAGAGTAGCAAATTTTTTATTTCCTATGTACTAGGACGTTTGAATTATTTAACGTAAGTCACATGTCACCGATGATACAGGCCTATTCACATGTTGCTGATTAGGGACTGTTCGTTGCTTTTCATAGCAGCATGGCGCAATTCGAGTTATAAAAGCAATCCGGTTTTCGTGGCTGTGTTTTCTATGACGAGAACGGAAATCTCTCTGATGCGACCCAGAATGGGTATCGCCGGTTACGAACGTTTCGTAGGCAATTGTTTGTCGAATTGGCTCCTAACGATTAAGACAGCTATGGGAGCAAGTTGTCTGCAGATCGAGTTGACGCAGTTCCAAAATAAACAATATAGCAAAAAATCGTCCGACAACGAAAACGAAGGCCAAAAAAAAAAGCAACCATCTGTTGACCCATCTACTATAGTTGTAGAGTACTAGGAGTTCATGGTAGATTATTAAAGCGATCGGTATTTAGCACGAATTATACAGAAGTATGCAAATATCCCCATAATAAAATTCCGACGATGGCGAGAAAAGCTCGCACGGATAAGATAATGAAAATCGTCGGGCTCATCCAATTTATACAAAAGTCAAGGATGCCAACGAGAATATATCATTTGAAAACTATGTCATTACATTGCATTCATGATATGGTAACGATTGCCACCTCAAATCTAACAGTTCCTGTGATCGTACGAGGGCTAACCTATCTACGCGTTACTCTTATATGTTAAACCATTGATTTCTACCTCTAAACGCTGTCACATTGATCTCCGTTAAAGTTACTGCATTCATCAGTCTAATAATGTAACGTGTATACACTATTAAAAATTCCATACCATAACGGTTTGTCAAGATTGTCCCAGTGACCTTCATCGCTATGTTTCAGTGTAATAGAGAAGAAAACCAGCCTAGAGCACACACACTATAGATTTTGACTATATCAGTTACAGCCATTGGCGATCGATAACATCATACCGGTTCTAACTCACAGACGAATCTGCTACGGTTATCTTTCCGACAGATTCGCCCCAAGCGAACTGCTCGTGATAACAATCTTCAATGGCTAGCGATTGATACAGATTTTCCTTTCATTCGGTAGCAAGATGGGCAAAAAGCCAGCTCGACGAAAACGAATGCCTTTTCCCGCTAGTCGATCAAGGAATTTAGGGGGCCGTCCTAAGTATTTGTCATTATCAAAGATCAGAACGGATCACAGTTTCGGCTTGAGCTTGATGGCTGAGTCACCGATGGACGACGACAGACCGTTTTAGTTTTGACGAAGGCCGCGTTGCAATACTACGTCCACGGCGCGTGGTGATCAGCAGTATCGTGTGTTTTGAGATCTTTAACTTTGCCCCATGAAATAAGAATATTGTATCCAAACCACGTTGTCTCTATTAACTGCCACGGAAGGCTAAGTAAGGTACGAGAAATTTTTGAAGCTGATGTAGAGAAATGTATCGGTTTATTTTTGAGAGACACTAACAGACTGGATAAACATTCTGTCTACTTGGCAATCACGACACTTCCATCGGTTTTCTTCTATGGAATGATTTTCGGCTCTACGTGCGCGCAAACAATAATTGCTGCCCCTCACAGCCACCCAGTCTACTTAACAAAATACTATTTCGCAATATTGTTTCCCTGTGAACAGAAAAACTTTTATCCAAGCCACCCGAAATTTTATTGCTTCCTTTGCTATGCTTGTTATCAGTTTTTGTAGTCGTATCATAGTACGCTATTCTATATGCACATGCATGCATGCATGCATATATACATACATAAATACATCCGGGGTGGTCCAAAACATTTCAGTGTATAGTTGGAGCTTCTGGACAGAATCGAAAGCACTATAAGCAAGGAAACGCTGATCGGTTCGGTGAAGCGCGCGCGCGCGCGCGCGTTTCCGACCACTCGTCGTAGATGTGAAGGGTCCCCTGTTTCTTTCCATACATAATAAATACATCGATAATTATATAATGGCTATCCATACGCCTTCGCATCTCCCGTATTTATTCCTTTGCTCGTTCAATTGGGCAAGCTTAACGGTGCCAGAACTGACACAACAGCAACCTCTCGCTGAAAACTGCGTACCGATTAATCGTCGTAAACTCAAGCAAGAGCAATAGTTGTCTGTTCCGTCTGATATAAAACGTCATCGTTATCGTTATCTAGACGCCCTAACGAAGGCAGCAGCAGATCGAACCGTGGTACTACCGTTTGGGCGACAAGACAAACAGCGCAGCGGCCCGGTCACTAGAGATCATCAACTATCCAAATGGATCGTATCGGATCGGATCGGATCGGATCTGGTTCCATTGCAATCTGTTTCATAGCATTTGAAATCATCGACTCGAACGTCGCCATTGTTGCTGCGGTACTTGATCCTGACCACGGCTGAAGTCACAGCTGTCGCATTGCCCACGCATGGCACTCGCAGCGACTGTAGATCTGACCGTTTGCTCATTTCCATTTCACTCATCGTCATCATCAGATTCATCATGAGTATCAGTGTGATCATAAACAGAAAAACAAGTTCATTGTTATTATTATTGTTGCTACTATGCGGATAAGTTCGTCCGTTTCATAGTGCAGCAGCGACCGGTTGTCGAAAGGGACAGTTGTAAGAACAGAAGATTTTGCTATGACTTTTTATTTTCGAAAGGATAGTTTTATCTATCATTGAACCGCGCTTAATCGCGAATGGACCCATCTCGCGAACGTTATCAGCACAGCTATAAGTTCGATGAACTTAATTAGTTTGGCAGGTTAGTTAAGGGATTCGCTTGGAGCTCTTAACCAGCGAACGGAACGGACAATTTATGTGTTGACACTTTTCGTATAGTTGGCAAATCTATTTTTGACA